GGCTCTTCCTCCGCCGGCCCTTTTCCTCACTCCTATCCCAGATGCACGTCCCAATCCCTTTAAAAGCACTCTACTCCCCACCCAGCTCTGCTGGAGCCTGGCCAGGAGTCACATTCAAGAGAATGGAAACCAAGTACCATGCTAACTGGCCGTGTGGTATCGCCCTGGCCTTCCACAAAACCTCTTGCCACAGTAGTTTCTTCTTAACTCTTTTCTTAATGATTGGGTTACTTCTAGAAATTAGAGGTTTCCTTTATAGCAAGAAACTTTATCTTAAACCACTCCTCACACTCACTGGGAGGGAATAATTTTCACCTGTTCCTGTGCCTTGCCGGTCTGGTTTAAACTAACAGTAACGGAAACCCGTGGATACAAAAACAGAGAAATTGACCTCAAAGGTGCCTGAGAAACCCTCTCTGCTGGCTAGTTTGTGCAGTGCCAGAAGGTGTAAGGCAAATTGCTGCGTGAGAAAAGACAGACCTCAGTGGTCTTATCCAGTGTTGGATCCTGCATGCTACAACAATGGCCTGCCTGGCAAAATACACCCATGGGTCACACAGCGGCATGACAGTTATAGGGTAACCAGCTGCAGTTTCTGCTGTGCTATGAGGCCTGCTTCAGAGCAGGAATTTCATACCTCGCAAACCTGGTCAAGCTAAGCCGAGAGCAAGGGAAGCCTGGGACAGTCAGAACGACGCCTCAGATTCACATCCACAAGAATAAGCTGCAGCGTTGACAACCGCTGTTGACCAGCTGACAAGTTGGCTGCGACAGGCTCCTCATTCTCCCTAAGCCCTCTGCTTCCAAAGCTGGGAAAGCGACCAAAACACTGCACAGGCCTGGGGCACGGTTCAACTGCTTTGTTCCAGCCCATGGACTCATCATCAGCTCTACCAAATTCAGCTGTTTTCAAAAGGGCAGTTAACTAAAGGGAACTTTTTGATTTGTTGTTGCTGTTGCTAGTCTTTGCTGGTATATGTGTGTCTATGTGACGCATCCCTTTGGATGTGGTAACATGTATGCTTGTTTGTGGTGGAGGGCAGAGGCTGACATTGAGTGTCTTCCACAACTGCTGTCAACCTTTTATTTTGAGACAGGGTCTCTCACTGAACCCAGAGCTCACCAATCGGCTAGAATGGCCACCTAATAGCTCCTGGGATCTGCCTGTATCTCCTTCCTCAGTGCGGAAAATACATTTTAACAATTAGTCGGGGCTGAAGTCTTAATTCAGATCGCTGTGTTTGCAAAGTTGACACTTTAGCAACTGAACCATGGCCCAAGTCCTTTCTGTTTGCTTTCTCAGACAAATGTAGAGCCCAGACTCACTCAACTCTCATGGACGCTCCTGCATTAGCTGCCCCAGTCCTGGGATGACAGTCTGTGCCATTAAGGCTAACCAGAAGCAGCACAGTCACCAGAGAAAGGCACTGTGCTCCGTCAATAAGTATTTGTCGAGTTCCTAGGAAGAGCAAGTATCGAGATGTGGCAGTGGCCAGTGTGTGGTGACTCCACCCTCCTTAGTTCTGGTACGGGTGAGAGCAGATGGCAGAAAAATAAAAATAAAAACCGTGAGAGCTGCTCGGGAGCCAGTGATTTCTCAGCATTATGAAAAGCAATGACCTTTTCTAGTCTTGTAGAAATACATAATTTTTAAAAATTCGTATGACTCACCCCAAATACATCAAGCAGTTTATCTTCAATGTATTTATTATTGCAAGTGTGTGCAAGAACCGTGTGCATGAGTGCAGGTCCATGTATGCCACAGCACATATGTGGCAGTCAGAGGACAATTTGGTGGACTCGGTTCTGTCCCCGCCTTCATATGGGTTCTGAGGGCTGGAGCCTGGTTGTCAGGACTGCGTGGCAAATGCTCTCCCGGCCGGGCCATCTCACCAGCTCCTGAAGCTTATTTTACAAATTAAATCCCAAGGGCTGAGAAGCCTCAGTCAGGAAAGTGCTTGCCACACAAGCATGGGAACCTTGAGTTCAGTTTCCACAAACCATGTGAAACATGTAGGCATGGTGGCATGTGTTACTGTTAGCATCCAGACGAACCTGGCCCTGTGCCTATGAGAAATTACAGAGTGTGTCATGCCCTGCTTCACACCTGTGTGCAGGGCAGGCAGTACCCTGACTCCGCCTACTTCTCTCCTCTTCTTCCTCGTCCTCTCTCTGCATCTCTGTCTTTCTCTCCCCCCCCCCCCCCTTTATCTCAATAAAACTCTCCACTTAAAATCTGTCCATATGGTGTATCTGTCTCTCATCCTCCGTGGCCTCTCACCCCCAGGGTTTGGACTCACCCGCAGAATCCTACCACCTATGATCCCTGTGCTGGGTAGACCGAACAGAAGAACCCCTAGGGATCACTGGCCCTGTCAGTCTAACCTACTTGATGAGTTCCAGGACAACAAGAGACAGGACACTTTCTCAAAACCAACTGGGAGGCACCTGAGGAATTATAGTCAGTTTTTCTAAGGCCTCCAAACGCCACCCAACTCCCTGGGGCAGAAGCACTAAGGGCGGGGCTTTCAGTGGCACGTCCCTAGATGACCCAACACAAAGTCACTGAGCAGCAAGGCAAGGGTCAGAAGGATGCGGAAAAGCATGCCCTCGGTTACCCTGAAACAAGGCCTAGGGAGACTCTACAATAAGGAGGAGCATCCTTCCCTTCTCTGGCTCCAGATGGCTTAGCACCCACAGCCCTTCAGCAGGTCTGCCACCCACTTGAAACTGTTGTTGTACCCTCCTCTGGAACCACGACATGGAATTAAGAAAGTGAGTCATGTCCCTAAAAAGCGACCAACAAATAGTCTTGAACTACAGACTGTCATGAGGACGGCAGCACATCTACTGATCTCCTTGCCTGCATCTGAGCCCATGCAAAGCTCCATGGTGCCAACTGAGCTTTCAAAGATGGCAAAAAAAGTCACGGTAAAGAATACAAGTCTACCATAGCTATTCACCTGAGCCTTAATGGGGTGGGGTCCCCTAAATCACCACGCATTGTTTATCCGACACAGGCAATTTCTCCAAATTTAATTCCAAAATTTTGTTACACAAACTGACAAACCTGCATGCCTTCCCTGCAATTTAGTTTCTCCTTCCCAGAAGATGACTCAGAGGCTAAGAGCACTGGCTGCTCTTCCAGAGGTCCTGAGTTCAATTCCCAGCAACCACATGGTGGCTCACAACCATCTATAATGAGATCTGGTGCCCTCTTCTGTATATATCATAAATATATCTTTTAAAAAAATCTTGGCCAGGTTGTGGTAGAGAATGCCTTTAATCCCAGCACTCAGGAGGCAAAAGGCAGGCAGATCTCTGTGAATTAGAGGCCCGCTAATTCACAGCTCTACAAAGCGAGTTCCTGGACAGATTCTATAAAGTTACAGAGAAACCCTGTCTCCAAAAAAAAAAAAAAACAACTCCTTCCCAAACATTCCACAAAAACCTGGCTGATGCTGTTGGTGACACCTGAAAGCTTGCTTGAGCTTAAGTTTTCTACTCTGCAGGGCTGGGAATCCCACGCACAACCTCAAATGTTCTAGGCAGACACTATCCAGCACTGAACAGCCCGAGCCCTCCCTTTGTACACACTACAGTAGTGATGGGGGAGGGGGCAGAAAGGGTGGCGATCTGTAGTCCAGGTCCCTTGCCACACATTAGGAGATTAATGAGGGACAATTTCCCTTTGAGACTACCTCTAGGGAGTTTTCTATCACCTCTCTCTTCCTTGGTATCCAATGACAGAAATTTCTCCTTTTGGCCTACTAAATTCTCCCACTTCCCCTCCTCCCACGGAGCTAAGTTTCCCATAACAAGTTTGCGGAAGACACCTGTGCACTCCATCGCTTCCCTCTCCATCAGAATGATCCCTGCATCCCCAGAAAGACCAGCCTACCCTTCTTAGTTCTCCAGCCTAGGCCCTTTTTATTCCCTCATTCCCTGCGTTTTTCCTTTTCTTCATAAGCTATCTCTGCTTCTAGGTCTAACCGCGTGTCTCTGGGGAAGTCCTTTGCCCTGAGACATCTGTGCTCAGCATTGAATGCGCTCTGAACCCAGGGCCCTACTGAGGACTTCCCCACTGTTTCTCTAACCTCCAAGTCTAGTTAAAAGCCTCTTTTCCTCCATCTCCTTTCCTTCTAGGGGATGTGAGCATTTTCAGCTGGTGTCTTTTATCTCTATCCTCAATGAAATTGCCCTCAAGCTTCCTTCTGAGTCAGTTTTAAATTGCTGTTAATGAGACTAAGAACTCAAAGGGGACCCGCTGTTGACCCCTGATCTCTGATAGAATGTTCCTGCCCTCACTTGCAAGGCTTGCTCAAACTGTATCTTCTCTCCACCGCCCTCCGCCCCAAACACACACCAGTTAAAACTTCCAACTCTCTTTTTTAAAAAGTCTATAATTTACTATCCCAACTATTAACCCATTGTAAGAAGCTCCAAGGTTGCAGAGATTTATCTGCCCTCTGCTGCGTGCCCAAGGTCTAGAAGCCTGAACTCATCAGGCCAAGTGTTTAAAAAACATTTGAGAAGAAAAGTTATTCACTTAACAAGGGCTTGTTGGGCACCTCTTTCCCTGCAAAAGACATCACACTGCCTCCGCCTTCAGAAAGCACTGAGAGGACCCTGGATCGTGTTAGGGGTGCAGGACTGAAAACTACGGACAATGTGCACAGGTCAAAGAGTGTGCCCAACCGTTCAGAAGAAAAGGCTTGAGCATGGGCTTGATTCAACGGGTCACTGACACGCAGAGCGCCAAGGGTTTCCTAGATTCCCTTAAAGGTGCCGCGACATTCCACTTTCCAGGCGGAGAAGTTACTAGACCAGAGATGCAAATTCCGGCCTCTTCCCAACCGTCTTGATATTTAAAGAGAAAGAATCATACTAATTTCTACTTTCCTGCAGCAGCGCCCCATTCCACGCGACCTCTGCACAACCGCCCTCACCCCCAATGCTTCCCATGCCGCCCCAGCCCAAAAACCCGCAATGCTTCCCACCTGCTCCCGGCGTGCCCCGCGGTTCCTCCCCACGCGTGCGCAATAAACTCCCTCTTGAGTCCAGGAGGGGCTGGAGCTCCGGCCTAGGATGGACACGCCCCCGAAAGCAGATCCGACTTCTGATTGGCTGCAGGCGCTCGCCCGAGCTCGGTTGGAACGTAGGGACAGTGCTTTTAAAGGCGCTACCGGGTGAACTCAGGAACTTGAGTACTGCCTGCCTGCACTTGCTCCCGCGCTTTCGCCATCCAGGTCACCTCGCCAGCATGTCTCAGGTACAGCGCGTGCCCTGCCGGGCTGCGAAGGTGCAGTGGGTTTGGGGAAATCAGTTCGCGGGAACCCCGCGGGGTATCTTTCCCACCACCACCCCTCCTCCCGGATGCTAGGCTTCTGTTCTGGGATCCGAGCCCAGCTCATAGCCTGGGGAGCGGAACTTTTTCCCTTGCAGATTTCTGAAACTGCCACCCACGCCGGAACTGCTGGAGAGTTGCGGGTGGGCTGGACTCCCGAGTGAAGCAGGCACAGGGTTCTCGAAAGAAAGATGGGGCAAAAAGAGGATGAAGGGCAGAGAAGATTGAATCTCATACTGGGAAGGACCGGAGTGGAACAGTGGGGCACTCGTGAAGGCCCTGACTGGGGAACCTGGAGGTCGGGGGGTGGGGGGGGGCAGTAATTAGCCTTGTGCCTGGCTTGCCCTTCTACAAAAGAGATGCGACTAGATGAGGTGGCCCCGAAGCCTTTTCCTTCCCTGTTTTGGGACCCCTGTCCGGGACGGATTCCCTGTAGCATGATTCCTGGCTCCTCCCACTTGCTTGTCCCTAATCTGGGCACTGGGACAGAGGTCACCGCTGAACTCCAGGCCCCAGTAGGAAGGGACCAGTGGGCGCCTGACCCTGGGTTCCACTGCATTCATGGCCTGAACCCTGATCGACTGTTTTCATCACTCCACGTTTCCCCTCACTGCCCCGTCTATCTCCGCTGATCATAGGGGGAACCCCCAGCAATTGCTGTATTTGAGCCAGCGGTGGTCAGGCAGTTGGGCAGAAAAAAATTTAAAGGCTTGTACTTCCATTGTAAGTCAAGTCTATTCCCGGCTCTTGACACAGTGCTGTAACTGCACAAGCGGACAGGTGGGCCTTTGCCGAATCTTGGTGCCAGCAGAGTTTGTGAGGAGTGTTGCCTTCCCTCCCCACACACCCCTAGACCGCTCCCACTCAGATATCCACCCCCATCCCGTTCCTCTCCCTCTCGCCCAGGCTGAATTCGACAAAGCAGCCGAGGAGGTGAAGCGCCTCAAGACTCAGCCAAGTGATGAAGAGATGCTTTTCATATACAGCCACTTCAAACAAGCCACCGTGGGCGACGTAAATACAGGTATGCCCAGCTTCTCATCAGAGCAGGCCGAGTTGGCTCGGCAGCCCAGGAGTCTGAGAAGCTCACTTTCCAACTGCCGGAGGCCCTAAGGTTCGGGCAGGGATGGTGGCAGATCAAAGCTGGGAGGTCCACCTGCAAGACCATCTTCCTAAACTCTTTGTGTGACCCTGGGAGCAGATTCAGTCTGGTTTTGGAAGGACTTTACCTATTATTTCAGCATCTCCTGTGAAGGAAGCAAAGGTCCCAGACAGGAAGCTTGCTCTAAGCCCTGTTGCTCAGAAGTAGCTTTCTTGAACCTACTGTTCCCATTAGGTGAACAGGGTCATTGAGCACTTGGCAGCGGCCCCAAAGCCTAATTGATGAGCAGTTGGAAGTGGTGCTGGCCAAAGTCTGCACCTTCGAGATGACTTTTCCCCCTCTAAGGATCTTGGTGCAGACTTCTGTGCAGGGCCGGAGCATGTGTATGTGGGAGCCAGAGGACAGCCTGGAGTATTGTTTCCACAGCACCGTCCACCTCCCCCAGGGATCTGCCTGTCTCTACCTCTCCAGCACTGGGATTATAAGCACAGGCTGCCCTATGCACCCCTACCCCGCCCCATTTTTTTTCCACATTACTTCTGGGACTGGAACTCAGGTCCTTATACTTGCAAGGTAAGCCCTTTGTTGGCTGACCTATCTCTAGCCCTTTGGTACAGATTTTGAAGTTATGCTGTGGATTACCATGGTCTATAATATTGTTTCTGCTGCTGCCTTGGGCAGTGGCTGTGTCCTGAGACAGCAGCACAGTGTGTTCTAGCAAGAACTCATGGCAGCATAGAAGGGAATGTACCCCTCAGCCACCCACCAAGTGTGGCCTCCAGTTCCACTGGGCTGGAGTGGCAGGCCAAGCAGGTCAGAGCAGAGAGCTTATGAACATCCAGGAAGAAGAAGATAACGGGGAGGCCGGACTGCCTTGCTGCCAGATAGTATTTTGTCACAGCCTGGCCTCTGGCCAGCCTAGAGGTACTTGAGCATCAGACTGGCTTGGAATCTTTCACTCCCTGAACAGGAAACTGTTGTCTCTTTTCGGCTGCACTGTTCAATACAGCGAAGATTAGCCACTTGTGGCTATCTAAGTGTTAGCTGCAAATGGTTTTACCTAAGCAATGCGCAAAACAGTCTGTAGCTGCATGAGCTATGTTTCAAGGGCTCGGTAACCACGTGGGGCAAGTGGCTTCTGAATGAAATGTTGGAAGGACCAGCAAAACGGCTAGCAGGTGAAGCCTTGCTGCCGCACCTGGTGAAAGAACTAACTCCCAAAAGTTCTCCTCTGGCATCGCACACACGTGCACCCCAATATACACATGCACTAACTGAATGTGGCCAATATGCATGCCCACCTAGGGCGTCTTCCTCTGGGGTGGTGAGGGTACCTTTGTAGGCATAGTCCTGTAAGGTTCCCAGGACTTTTTCCTCAGACTCAGTGCCCCAAGCTGTATGCTCTGCAGTTTCTGCTCTTAGCAATGAAATTGCTCCCCAGGAAGGATGGTAGGAGGTCTCTCCCAAACCCAGATGCTCTGGAAGAAGCCTGGTCTTCATTTAAAAAAAAAAAAAAAACAGAGTTCAGCAATGTGGTAGGGAAATAGGGCCAGGTGGTAAAGCCGCTGAGCGGCAGGTGGAATCTAAGTGTTTCTTTTCAGAATTGTCTTTGGGGTTTGGTGTTGTTGCTTTATCGTTGTGTGCATTGGTATGTTACCGGCATGTCTGTCTGTGTGATGTCGCCAGATCCCCTGGACCTGGAGTTACAGACAGCTATGAGCCGCCATGTGGGTGCTGGGTTCTCTTTAAACACCGAGCTATCTCTCCAGCCCCCTTTTTTTCCCCAGAGTTTTTGAATTCTGAACCATGTGAATGGATGTTTGTTTGATTTGATTAAAGTACAGGTATAGTTTGGTTTGAGAATTTTTTGGTCTTTTTTTTTCCTCCTCTGTTTTGTTTAAGACAAGAATCTCATGTAGCCCAGGCTGACCCAAATTTACTATGTGGCCAAAATAAAATGACCTTGAACTTCTGATCTTCTGGCTTCCACCTTACAGATGTGAATCACCAGGCCTGTTTTATCTGGTCCTGGGGATGGGGAGACCAGGGTTTGGGGCATCCAGGCAAGCACTCTGCCAACGGAGCCATATCGCTAGCCTTTTTACTATTTAATATTTTTCTGGTTTTGAAACAGAATCTCACTAAGCCACCCAGTCTGGGCCTTGAACTTCCGATCCTCCTGCCCCAGCTCCTTGTATCACAGGTGTGTACCACCATGCCCTAGTTACAGGGTGCTGGAGTTCTTCAGGGCGTTGTGCACGCTAGGGAACTACCTACAGCTACGCCTCATCCCCAGCCCCAAAGATAGTGTTGTTTTTAAAGTAAAACTTTGGGTTTTAAACATTTAACTTACAGTACAGAAAAAAAAAATTAAGAACATTTTTAGCCTGTTTTTTCTATATTTTAAATTTGAGTTACTATAAACCCATCTGGGTTTCTTATGCTAGAACCCTCTGTGTGAGACACTGGGAGTATATGCATCAAAAGAATATCTTAGTGCTGGGAAGTGATAGCACCAACTTTAGTCCCAGCACACGGAGGCAGAAGTAGGCAGATCTGTGAGTTCAAGTCCAGCCTGGTCTACAGAGTAAGTTGCAGCACAGTCAGAGCCGGGGAAACTCTATGGGGGCAGGAATGATGTCTTGCTTTGCATGGGAAGGAAGCTGATAAAGCTCTCCATTAGAACTTGTAACAAATCTTCTGTCTGCCCTTCCCTTGTTGCAGATCGGCCAGGGCTTTTGGACCTCAAAGGCAAGGCCAAGTGGGATTCCTGGAATAAGCTGAAAGGTAACTTGTTCTGATCGATCTCCCTCCCTTGTGAGGCTGGCCGTTGAAGATTCTCAGTTCTGGAGTGGGGAGGACAAAGGTCAGGAAGCTCACATTGGAAGCCAGCCCAGACAAGCCTAGCATGGGGAAAACTAGGCCATCTCCTTTCCCTCCTTTTCTAAGAGCTTTGTCTCTGAGCAGACATGTTATCTGGAGGGGAAGGACTTGGGGACCAGCCACTGAGAAGAAGGCCAGGGAGTGACATTGTTGCCATGGTCTTTGGATGTCTATTGAGTAAAGAGAGTTCTCTCGTCCACGCCTCTATCTCCCCAACAAGGCCAGGCGATGACCCCTTAGCCGAGTGGCCATTCCCCAGTTCCCTTTCAGCTAGAAGGGCACATGAGAAAAGAGGATGAGGTAATGCATGGCCAGTGAATGGAACGATTATTCGCTGAGAGCACAGGCATCTAAGAGGTGTCCAGGCTCCACTAAATCACGTGTTCCCACGGCAGCAAGCCCCAAGAGCTGGCACCAGAGTTGTGGCAGCTTTCATACCCTCGCCAGCCAGTTGTTGAATAGGCCTCTGTCCTCACAGAGAGAAAGGCATGGGCTCAGGAAGGGCCCAGCACACTGAAATGCCCTGCCAGGGCAATGTGAGTCTGGCTGTCCATCTTCCACACTGTTTTCAGGCCCTGGAAACCCTGGTGCTTCACAACAAGCTTTCTCAGTCCCCGAGGACTTCTCATTACCCTGGGGGATCTAGGAAACCCAGTATAGCCGTCCCTCAGGGTGTATCCATTGTCCTTTATGCCGTGACCAGGGGACAAAGATTTGCCTCATTCCTTTCC